ATATATATTTTATATATATATTTTATATATATATATAATATATATATTTTATATATATATAAATAAATATAAATATAAAATATAAATATATATATATATAAATATAAGTTTATATTTACCTGATGGGAATCCTATCAGGTAAATATTAACAATCCATGTTTTTAGATGAGGAAACTGAGGCAGACAGTCCTTCTGTCGTGAGGTAGTTATGATAATTAAGTAAGATACTGCAAATAACGACTTACCAGGTACCTGGGACACAGTAAGTGCTCAACAAATGTTACCTATCTTTACATAATCATAATGGATAAAAGCACTTACTGCTTAACAGCTAGAAGGGGTTAAGTGGCCAGAAGAGTTTTTTTAATTCTTGAGAATCTATTTCAAAACTGATAACAACACTGAAAAATCCTTCACTTTTATCTCTTTGACCCGTAAATCTGGCACATACTCTTCTGTTCTGGGCTCCAGCCTCCTGACGCATAGGGGCTGCCATCTCTCAATAGGAACCACTCCAGGTGTTTCCGGCGTGCCTCAGACCACCTATGGGTGCTCTGGCTAAGGAGATAAACTGAGCTGTGGCTGAGGGTGTAAGCTGCCCTGCTGTGCAGCAGGGGATACACAATGCACCCTGTGCCAGGTGCCACTCTCAGCATGCCACATGAATGAATTCATTTAGTTCTCAAATCACCCCAGGAAGGAGAACCTGCTGTTACCCCCATTTTACAGCTGAGGTTTCGAAATAAGGTACAGTCGACCCTCTATATCCACAGTTTCTGCATCCATCGGTTCAACCAACTGCAGATTAAAAATATTTTTAAAAGGCCAATAAGAACAATACAATAAAGAAATACAAATAAAGCATAAGAATTATTTACATAGCATTTCCAAAGCATAAGAATTATTTACATAGCATATATTGTATTATCTATAAGTAATCTAGAGATGATTCAGCCATAAAAAGGAATGAATTAACAGCATTTGCCGTGACGTGGATGAGACTGGAGACTATTATTCTAAGTGAAGCAACTCAGAAATGGAAAAGCAAACATCGTATGTCCTCACCGATATGTGGGAGCTGAGCTATGAGGACACAAAGGCATAAGAATGACACAATGGACTTCGGGGACCTGGGGGAAGAGTGGGAGGGGGTCGAGGGATAAAAGACAATAAATACGGTGCAGTGTACACTGCTCGGGTGATGGGGACACCAGGGTCTCCACGAACTGCTAAAGAACTTGCGCATGTAACCAAATACTGCCTGTATTCCAACAACTTATGGAAAAATAAAATTTAAAAAAATTTTGTGCTGCTGTCATAAAAAAAATATATATATATATTTGCACATAACCTAAGCATAAAGTCCTGTGTGTGTATATATATATATATATACACACACACACACACAGGATGTTTTATATATATATATATACACACACACACACACACCCAGGACGTTATGCTTAGGTTATGTGCAAATACTATGTGTACACACACACACACACACACACACACAGGGCATTATGTTTAGGTTATGTGCAAATACTATGTGTGTGTATATATACACACACACACAGGACGTTATGCATACACACAGAGGACGTTATGCTTAGGTTATGTGCAAATACTATGTGTACACACACACACACACACACACACAGGGCATTATGTTTAGGTTATGTGCAAATACTATGTGTGTGTATATATACACACACACACACAGGACGTTATGCATACACACACACAGAGGATGTTATGCTTAGGTTATGTGCAAATACTATGTGTATACACACACACACACACACAGGACGTTATGCTTAGGTTATATGCAAATACTATGTGTGTGTATATACACACACACACAGGACGTTATGCATACACACACACAGAGGACGTTATGCTTAGGTTATGTGCAAACACTATGTGTATACACACACACACACACACACACACACACACAGGACGTTATGCTTGGGTTATATGCAAATACTACGCGATTTTGTGTCAGAGACTTGAGCATCCGTGAGCTTTGCTATCCACAGGGAGTCCTGGAATGAATCCCCTGTGGATACCATGGAATGAATGGTACAGAGAAGATAAGAGGATTTGGTCAGTATCTCCTAACTCATAAATGATAGCACTGGGATTCGAACCATGCTAGTGTGCAACTACTGCACAAAACTCCCCTGGGGCTGCACAAAACTAACATGGGAATTTCCGAGGGCCATATTCTGAGCAGAATGGGGAGGAGAGCTGGTGAGCTAGGGGATTTGGCACACAGTAAAGGTATCTGACAGGGGGCAGCTGGAGCTCCAGGGGACAGAGACAGAGAATGTCATAGAGGATGAAGGGTCTGCTGCCAAATATCTGGGCAAGAACTTTCTGGGCACAGCATATGATCAGGAACAGGGCAGCCAGATTAACATAATAAGAATGGGATTAACACACTAAGACTCTTGTAATCTCTGTAAGTGGATTTAAAGAGATTCCCCTTGTGCTAGCCCTGGTGTCAGGCAGGAGTTCTAAAGCTGAGACATCTGCGAACCCCTTTGAAATGCATTCATAATGTTTCTAAGCATGAGCATTTTCTGGGGAGGAACCATTGGTTTATTAAAGAAATAGTGGCCAAACAGTAAGGATCACAGTTCTGGGGTGGCGGGGAAAGGCCGGTAGTCCCTACCTCCAGCGGCAGGTTCCACGCTATGTACACATGAGACTTGTAATCGTCCATCCAGACCTCAGCAACACGCAGAGCGTTCCTCTTGGTGTAGAAGCCGATGTTGCTGTTATATGGTTTCTTCTTCCTCTCGATGTGGGCCACCCGTGAACAAGGAAGGACCTCCATGCTGCCCCCACAGAGCCATACCTAGGGGAACAAAGATTTCTTCAGCCTAAAAAAGAAATTCCCAGAGGCCACGGCCCCCAACCCCGCAACACCGAGCCCAAAAGCAATGGTTCAGCTGACTTTGCATAAATGTGAAATACATTTTAATATATAAATCCAATGAGAGACCGTGCATGGTGCTTCATGCCTGTAATCTCAGCACTTTGGGAGGCTGAGGTGAGCAGATCATTTGAGATCAGGAGTTTGAGACCAGCCTGGCTAACATGGTGAAACCCCATCTCTACTAAAGATACAAAAATTAGCCAGGCACGATGGTGCACACCTATAATCCCAGCTACTTGGAAGGCTGAGGCAGGAGAATCACTTGAACCCGAAGGGTGGAGGTTTCAGTGAGCTGAGATTGTGCCACTGCACTCCAGCCTGGGTGACAGAGTGAGACTGTCTCAAATAAATAAACAAAAATACACACATACATACATAAAGCCAATGAGAGTTCAAGGCTGGTTTGTTACTGCAGCATGGTCTAACCCAACCTGGCTAATGCATGTAAAAAAGGCTTGGGAGGATTCTTACAGAGACAACAATTCAGGATATAAAGTCCAGCTCTAGGTAAGAAAAGCCCATAAACCTAAGTTCCCCATGCCAGCACATGAGTTTTCTTAAGTTCTCAACAATGCACAATAATGCACAAATTTCTTAGGTTCTCAATAATGCACCCATGAAGGTGTCCTTTCCCACCTGACTGAAGCTGTGCCCGACAATGGAAATGGAAAATTCATACTCAGAAACAGATTCCCTATATTCACATCAGCACAAGGTGTGTGTACTGATCTAGTTCTGTGGTGTGTTGTGTTTTGTTTTGAGACCCAGACTGGAGTGCAGTGATGCGATCATAGTTCATTGTAGCTTTGGACTCCTGGCTCCAAGTGATCCTCTTGCCTCAGCCTTCCAAGTAGCTGGGACTATAGGTATGTGCCTCCAAGCCCAGTTAATTTTTATTATTTATTTTTTTGTAGAGATGAGGTCTCACTATGTTGCCCAGGCAGGCTGGTCTCACACTCCTGGCCTCTAGGGATTCTTCCACCTCGGCCTCCCAAAGTGTTGGTATCACAGGCATGAGCCACTACTCCCAGCCTAGTTCTACACTGTTAATATGCTCTACTTTGGAGTCCTATGGCACAGATGCCAGGCCTTCTGGAAGCATCCACTCTGATGCCATCATGAGCAGCTGTCGCTTGCTACTGCTGAACTATTCAGATGGAAAGCTGCAATGATGGCTGCCTTTGAGGCAAATGCTCAAGGACGTGGGACTTATCATTCCTCTGCATGGGCATGGCAGGCACCTAGGCTGTAAGGCCCTGCTCCAAAAAGAAAGCTAGACCATCCAACTTCTTTTGGTCCAGGTAAGAAAATAAAAACAACCGTACTATAAAAAATAATAATAATAATAAATTTATACAAATGAAGTTCCTAGTACCAGTGGAAAAGGAGAAAAATGACAGAAAATTTCAGGGGCCCACGAGCGAGGCTGCTCTCCTGTGAAGATACTGTATGCTCTGCATAACTGACAGTTTTTTGCAGGCGAGCTGACTCAGGTGGGCTCATTCCAAGATGGGCTCCTTTAAGCCATTCTACCTTTAGTTTCCCAGTAATCCTCACAGCGAGGACAGTGAGACACTCTTGAGTGTTTGCATACCCCCTCTTGACTTTTGTTGACTGAATTTGGTGGCAAAAATCTGTTTGTGTGTGTATGATGTTCTCTTTCTATTTCCCAACTCTGGCTCTACCACAGGGAAATGATACACACAGAAAATTCTCCCATAAGCAAGAATATTAGCTTTGCTTACTTCTTCCAGGAGGAATTGTGGGCTAAGTGGTTAGTAGAGAATAGATATTCCAGACTTCTTTGATCTGAGACTGGGCAGCTAGGTGCCACTGCATTTAGGTTAGACCCAGCTGCTGGCCATGGAAGGAAGTGAAGGAGGCCAAATGTTGGCAAAGGGCCTGGGAATAGGGACATGAAATTTGTGTCTTAGTAAAACAAGGTGAGTGAATTTCAAGGGATGGACAATATATAAAAAAATCAGGGTTTCACAATTATGTTGCAAGACTCAGGGAATGAATGAAAAGATGTGCCATGTTCATGGACTGGAAGAATTCACATTGTCAACATGGTAATACATCCCAAATTGATGTAAAAATTCAATACAATCCTTACAAAAATCCCAGCTGGATTTCTTGCAGAAATTACCAAGCAAATCCTAAAATTCATAAGGAAAAACAAGGGACCCCAAATAGCTAAAACAACCTTGAAAAGAACAAACTGGGAGGACTTCACTCCCCAATTTCAAATTTTAACACGAAGCTACTATAGTCAAGATGGTGTGGTACTAGCATAAGGACAGACATACAGATCAATGGAATAGAACTGAGAGTCCAGAAATAAACTCTTACATTTATGGTCAACTAACGAAATTTCAACAAGGGTGTCAAGACAATTCAGTGGGATAAGGAATAATATTTCAACAAATTGTGCTGGGGCAACATGCAAAAGAATGGACAGGGCTCCTACCTCACACCATATAAAAAATTAACTCAAAATGCATTAACGACCTAAATGTAAGAGTTAAAACTGTAAAACTCTTAGAAAAAAACATGAGTAAAAATTCATGTCCTTAAATTAAGCAAATGTCCAACAATTGATGAATGCATAAACAAAATGCAACATATCCATATGGTGGAATATTGTTTGGGAAAAAAATGAAATATTGATACATGCTACAACATGAATGAATCTGGAAAGCATGCTAAGCAAAATAAGTCACAAAGGACTATATATTGTATGATTCCATTTATATGAACTGTCTGGTGCAGGAAAATCTATGGGGACAGAAAATAAATTGATGGTTGCTTGGGAGGTGGTGGGCGGCAGCTCGAGGAAGGTAGAATGACTGCTAATGGGTTCCGGGTTTCTTTCCAGGGTGAAGAAAACATTCTAATATTGATTGTGGTGAACTTTGCACAGCCCAAACATACTAAAAAAGCCATTGAGTGGCACACTTTAAATGGACAAGCTGTAATGGCACGTGAATATACCTATGAAGCCATTAAAAAATAAATAAATAGATAGATAAATCAACAGAGAGATGGGGAAAGTAGATTCGGGGGTGAATCTCAGTTTGGGGAGGCTCAGGAAGATGGATGCAAGCAAAGCAGAGCTCTTCAAGGGCTCATTACTTACTAGGGATGACAGACACAGGTGCCTAAGAGACCTTAGCAAAAACCTGAAACCCAGTCATGAGAACAGAAGTGCCATGTGGGAACAGAGCCCACAAGCCAGGCTGACTTGGCACCACGTCCTCCATAAGACATCTGGACCAAGTTCAGGATGGCTTTCATGACTGGGGTGCAGCCAAGCTCCCAAGAGAGTTCAAGTGGATGTAGCTGTTAGGAGTGGAGGTGAGAGGGTGGAGGAGCCAGACGCTGGCTGTGTTAACCCTGTGTTGGACACCAAGCCTTTTAAGCAAGGGGAGGGAGATGGTGCCACAGACAGGTGGCAGGCAGCTCAGCACATCTTGCCACATGGCAGAGGCACAGGCTTCCCGTCCTGGGCTCTGTGCTGTGGGTATCGGCCAGCACACTCCGTGGGCATTGACCCAGAGTCTCTCGGCACTTCCTGTAGAGCCTGGGGGGGACTCGGGGGCTCCTGGACTAGCAGGTGTCTTGAAGGCATACCTCACTGTTGGGTCCAGCAAGCCCGGTGGATTGCCAGGGTCAGTGCCTGGCCAGGAATCCTGCTGCTGACCTGGATGCCCACACATTGCTATCACCAGGCATTCATTGTGTTCATTACCCTGCCTGCCCCAACCTAGGTCTGCACATTAGCTCGTCACCTCCAGTGACTCAGACTGGATTTAAAATGCTAAGCATGACCCATCATTAGCAGCACCCTCTTGAGTGAGACAGAAAACGAGGGCTCCTCTTACTCACCTCTCCCCTCCTCTCCACTTTCCCAAGCCCCTCCCCTTAGAGAGGCAAGTATACCCGCTCTGCGTGCTCCAGACCCCAGAACCAGTCCAGTGAAGACAGAAAGCCCCAAACACCAACTCCCTCATCAGCTCATCACAGACGAGGAAACTGAAGGTCAGAGAGGTGGAGTAAGTGGTTCATAACCCCAGAGTCAGGAGCAGTCAGAACCACACCCTCCACTGCAGGCCACAACAGCAGGCACTGGCCCCTCCTGCCCATGAGAGCTGACCTACAGCTGCAGACCCCTTGGCCCTTCCTCAGCCACAGCCCTGTCCCTCACTCTGGGTGCCTGGCTAGTGCCCCTGACCTGCACTGTCACCACAGTGAGCAGGAGAAATGGTGAGGACAGGGCTGGGTGTATGCGTATATCCCGAGGAAGCTCCGTGGATCTGCAGTGGCACCAGTGACACCCTAGGGTCCGAGGTCAAAGCCTGCTGCTGCACAAAGCCAAGTGGCAGCCTGGCTATGCCAGGGAAACTGGAAGATGCCTGAGAGACAAGTGATTCTCCAGGCCTGAGGCTCTGCTCTGTGTCGGCTGGGGGTGATCACCGGCAGAGCTCATGGGCTGGCTATAAGTGACGATGAGGTGATGTGAGGTCTGCCATTGGCTAAGCAACTAGGCCTACATAGCACAAGGAAAGAAATGCAAGAAAGTGGACTGAAGGCTTTTGAGCCATAGCATTAAGCCAATAGTGCAGCTGAGTCCCCTATGGAGGGGTATTCCTGGAAGGACTGATATTCACCTTGGCCTCTGAGTTCACCCAAGACATCTGGAAGCAAAAGGGGCCCCCTCTAAAGGCAGGGGTCCAGTTTATGCTTCTACCACACAGAAGACCCAGCGGCGAGTATCCCAAGTACAGCTGGTCCCAAGAAAGGGTCCTGTGGATCTGTTCTCTACATCAGTGCTTAGCAGCCCACGTGGTGAGTTCTAGGCAGGCTGGAAGGAATGATACTGAAGGGAAATGCATAGGAATGAGACCTGGATTGGCATG